AAAAAAGAGAAGATCTAGTCTGTGCAACCAGTGGCCACATCGCACATTTTACTGCCGATGTCAACAGATCCTGTACGATAAGTTGAGACCCAGAAGGGAAAATGTTTCTTCTTCGCTGCAGCAGCTCGGCTTCAGACCTGCACAAAACATTCCGCAATCAGATTCATTTCAACACTGTGTGGAGCAGTGAGAGAGTTTCAGGTTATACAGTTAAGAAGTTCAACTTCAGAATCAGAATCAGAATCAGAATTTACTGAGAGACTGTTTAAACCAGTTGATTGATTCATTGATTTCACACTGAAAGTAACAAACTAGAGAGAAACCACAGTCCAATTAAACACCTTCCCTTCCCAGAAAGTTCATGCAGCCACAGGTAGCTTTTCAGCTACTCATTTCAGTTTTTATGCAGTTGATGGGGCATTGTTCGGGCCATTGATGTGCAAACCACAGCAGGTATTTCTGCTTTATTTGATCACAGTGGCAGCATTTAGTTGAAACTTGTGACCACTGCTCACTCCAGCCTCCTCACTCATGTCCTCTGCTGCAGTCCTGGCTGGTAACAGCCTTGTTACTGCAGAGTGAGACACCCTGCTTATACTGCCATTTTGAGCAGCTGTCAGGTCGTTGAATACAACCCATATGAGCATGTTTTTTTTATTCGTATTTTTTGGTGAGCTAAAGAGGCTGGAATTATAGGACAATGTAGGATAACAAAAACCTATAAAAATAGAGCAAGAGAGGGAAACAGAGGAAAGAGAAAGAGGAAAGCTGCAGTGAGTTCAGCCCCGAGCAATGTGTGTGTGCTCCCTGTTGCTTCTATCTTGTGAGGACACAGTCTGAGGTTTGGAACCTCCAGTGATGACTCTCTTTTGTGTCTGTGTGTGTGTGTGTGTGTGTGTGTGTGTGTGTGTGTGTGTGTGTGTGTGTGTGTGTGTGTGTGTGGACATTTTCACCCAGTCATCACGGGTTAAAGGTTAGGACTACTTATTTTTCTGGGTTAAAAATTAGGATGAGGTTAAGACAAGCGATGCTGATGGATATGGTCAAAGATATGGGAGGAATGTAGACTCGGGGGACAAAATAAACAAACAAGTAAATAAAAGGGGTAAAATGAAGGGCAGGGAAGCTTCAGTTTACTTCAACCTGTATATATATAATCTGCTATATATGTGTATATATGTAAACCAGATTATATATATATATATATATATATACATACATGTCATAAAGCCATGCAGTATATCATTGGAAAGGGAACCCAAATCACAGACCCTGTCATTCTCTGAGTGCACTCTGAGGGCAGCTTAGAGATGCAGCTTTTATGCATGATTGCCTGTGCGGGTGCCAAAGGGTTCAGCAGGAGAGCAAACATGTAGTAAGATTCGTGTTTTATGTGTGGTCAGGTGAGCATCCTGCGACCCGTGTTGTGTGTGTTTAGTTGCGCTTGATGACAAAAAGAGCTTTTACTGAATACTTGTCGTCTGTTATATGTTCAAACCTGAGATGAGCTCATCAGTTTAAAGACTTGAGGGCGCTGATATGATTATCCAGTGTTCTGCCAGCAACGGTATGCCCACATGTATGTGTGACATGAGCAGTGTGTATGCTCTGGTGACCCCTAGAGTGCGTCATGGTAATATTGTTTCTATCTTACATAATGTCAGACAGGTGTTGATACAATTTTTTGTAATGTTCAAATTGGACCTGCAAAAAAAAATCCAATTATATCTGATTTTGAACTGTTTCTTTCGATGTTAAAATCAGTTATTTTAGGCTTAGTTACGGAGCATGTTATGGCAAAGCTGAGCTCGACACTTCCCCCACCGCTGTCCCAAAAAGGTCAAGTGTTACTTTTAATATCCGTTAAAGTTGCTTCATTCCTGTGCTGCAGTCACAAAGGTTCAGAGGTGGAAACCTTATCTTTCTGTTTGAAGCACTGCCGGACAAACTGCTTATAAACTGGCATTTATCTTCTTCCATAAATCTGCTTGCCCTCTCTCTGGAATGTAATGACACTTAATGAAAAACATAGCTACTAAAAAAAAATATGTCCACTACTGTGTCATGAGGCGATCACACTTGTGCCCTTGCAGTTTTTTTATTTTTTTTTGGAGCCTGTCTACATTCAGCGTGCCGTAATTACAACCTACACACAGCTCCGTTCATTTCTGCAGGCTGTGAAAGCAACAGTTGGGTTCAGTCCTTTGTTTATCTCTGCAGCAGCAGGTTGGCTGCCTGCCACAGAGACTTCGCCACTGGTGACACATTGAATCCGCCGGGAAGTCACAGAGTTAGTCGGCTGGCCAATTGAGGTGTGACGTCTTGCTGTGGAGCGCTGGAATAAATCTGATTAGAGAGAGATGAAGATGGTGTGAAAGAAAGAGAGAGTGAGAGAGTTGAGGGGTGGGTAAAGAGGAATGAAAGAGTGAGGGAGGGAAGCGGAGAAGGAAAGAATGACTCATAATTTAGTTTATTGTCTAGGTAAATAGAGCATATAAAGGATTAAGTAAATAGTGAGACGTGTTTAAATGTCTCTTCATCAGTTTGTTTTGTGGATGTGTGTGACGTTCTGTTGTATGAGTGAGTGTGACAAATCAGTAATGGGATGGTAAATGGACTGTACTTATATATGACCTCTAGTTCTCATTTAAAGCACACTGCACACAACACTCACCAGTGATTATACAGCTTAATTCCTGTGTTCTCGACCAAAACATCAGAAGCATTTGAGAGCTTTGCTTGAGTTTACTTGAGATTGGAAAATGTTATTGACGAGACACAGAAAGCAGGCGGTGGGCGTGCAGCTCAGTTTCTAATATTCTGCAGGGTTAGGCAACTATTAGAAACACCTTTTAACATAATACACTCCAGTACAGCAACACCACAAACCATGGCCCTCCAAAAGGATCACATACTTGACTGGACACTTCTCTGACAGTGTGAAATCTTTTAACTCTCCTTCTATCTGATCTTCGCTCTGCTGCTTGCTGTGAAGTTGCACCGAGCTCAAGAGTTACAACCAGGTTTACCTCTGATTTTCTCTGTGTCTCGAGTGTGAAAAGATAAACATATTGTCTACATTAGGGACACATCTGCCACCAAGATGGTGCCTAACAATAGGTAAGAGTTGATGGATGCCGATGTGAGCTTTCAGTCGGGTTAGTCCTGTGATAGAACAGGTCATAGTGTTCCTTCTGCTCTGAGTACAGTGTGGAGTGAATGTGTGTATTTTACGCTAATGCCGCCAATGATGTGGGGGAGAATGCTGTTTTCATAAATGTAGATCTAAATTTGCTATTTGCTCTAAATAGATCTTTTTCACAGCAGCTAGTCAGTCCCTCACAGAAGTTGCAGTGTTGTGATTGCAACAGTTAAAGCATATTCAACCGATCCCTGAGAATCCTGCGAGAGAGAGCTTACAATTTTGTCCAATAACTGAAACTTTTCTGCTAATTTAAACAATCATTGTAGTAGCGAGCAATACATGACCAAACTCACATTGTTGTTTCGAGTTGTGAAGATGCAGACCCTGCGAACATGTGCGACACGAACGTCTCGCCTCCAAACAATTTTATTCTCATTGGATCGAGTTATCTTATTTGATTTTTAATGAATTATACCAAAAAATAACAATTTGTTCAATTTCTCCTTTGCAATTTAACTGCAAGAAATAGCTATATATGTTAGAAAAGCTGGCGTGAAATCAGGCATGTTCCCAAAAAATCCCCAAAAAAGTGTTCAGGTCAAACAGAGTCAGGGTGCTGCTTATGCATGTTAGCTCACTGAAAAGGTTCTGCTCCACTAAATGGAGCCTTAATTAGTATCAGTGGTAACACCTGTGTTTACCCTATTATTTTTATGTCAAAATGGCAGCTGTGAAAAAGATCTATTCAGTTATTTTATATAAAAAGTGAATCCCCGATTAAAGCGTGTCTCACATTATGCCACCTAGTGAAATCAAAGCCTTGAATGGTGATTTTCAACCAGTTTGTGGTGCTCCTCGTGCTCCTTCAGAGAGCGTGCTGTGAAAAATCAAAAACAAAAGCACATTTTCTATACATTAAAGCTGCAGTAGGTAACTTTTATTAAAATAACTTTTCAGAATCAGAATCGTGTTTATTGCCGAACAAGTTTACACAAACGAGGAATTTGCCAATCACAATCAAGGAACTTTTAAATATAAATAAAGATAGAAAGATCTAAGAGCTGTACAGGAATATAGGATATAAACTTTCACTATATCCTGATAGTAGTACACGAGACAGATAATCTGTGAAAAAATCAGGTTCCTCTGGCTCCTCCTAGTGCTCCTTATTGCTTTTACAAGAATCCACCAGGCCTGAATGAAAACAACCAATCAGGGCCGAGACACTTTGGGTTGGAGGTTTAAAGATGGTTAATTTTTTAGTCTTATTCCTAAAGTTGATATTTGAGGAAGACTTAACAAACAACTATCTTCCTTGGCTCTGATTGGTTGTCTTCGTTCAGGCCCGGTGGATTTTTACAAATGCCATTAGAAGCACTTGGGGGAGCCAGAGGACCCTGATTTTATAAAAGTTATCTGCTGCAGCTTTAAGGCGCAGGTTCGTGTTTTAAAATTGTAATTCAGCAATCTAAATTATGCCAGTGCAGACATTGCCATTGCTAACAGCCTTTCTATATGAACCTAAGTCTGACTGACAAACCCAGCAGTTAGCTAGCTTAGCCCTACGGTTATTTATTGATTTTTGGTTAAAAAAAAAACATTTGGTTCGCTGAATTTGGCTGGTTGATTAAAAATAACTAAACTGTATTGCACTTTTTTATATTATATTCCCACTAGAGTTCTGACAGGATGCGTAATAGCACAGTTAATTTTCATCTTTATATCATAGAATCAACTGTATTTCTCTGTGGATGATGTAGAGGTTTTGGCCATTGCATCAGTCAACCAGTCCCTTCTATAAAGGATGTTGTGGTAAATGTACGTACTTATGTTTAACTTAGCAGTTATTCGTATTTCACACATCTGGTGACCACCAACAGGTTTTTAATCTACATCAGGAAGGAATTCCAGAGTTGAGCTTTTTTGGCATCAGTGCTTAAGATTCTCCAGAAATGCTGGGATTGTACAGTAGATATCAAATAACCAACAAACAACAATGAATTACAAATCTTAACATCAAACAGTTAACACATTTACAAGTAAGTTTTACAGCGTCTGTAAGAAAAGTCAGAAAGAAAGACAATGGTTTGAGTGTTAGGTGTCATCCCAAACAAAGCACTCGCCAACATGTTTTTTTTTATTAGACAACTATTTTGTTTTGCTCTTGCCTCTAGTTGAAGCCACAGTCAGTGGTTGGATGCAAGAGACAACACAACCTCTGTGTTTACACATAGCCGTTAAATTCCAGCAGACCCACAATCCACTCAACACATCTGCTGTATGATGTTGGTCCAACAGCCTTGTTTCCATACAATGTACTAACAATCTCAAGTAAACCATTGCAGTTCACACACAAGAAATTAATGGACTTGGTGCTAACAGCACACGTCACCGGGCCCATCAGTTGTGTCGTCAGTCTCAATCTGGCCATGGAGAGACACTCCACAGCAAAACCTGTGGAATAAATCAAGCTTTTGAAGAGCTGCAGAACAAAGAGGCACCCTATAATCCATCCTACAAAGCTCCACATTACCTTTTAGAATGATGTGTGTTGATGACAGACTCCATCATCCCCTAAATCTGTCAGATTTAAGCAGGGTTCCCACGTGGCCTGGAAAACCTGGAAAATCTGAAAATTAGAGACTAGTTCTCATGGAAACACCAAGAAATTGATTAAAAAGACCATGTATCCTGGAAATAATCAATGTTGTGTAGTTGCGTATTTTGACTGTTGGGAGGATAATTAGTATGACACTTTAAAGCAGGTTTACCAGATGCAAAGTGGAACTTACTTGCAGTGATCTTTTTCGGCGTTGCATCTATTTTTCCAGATCTGCAAGCTAAATTCTTATATCTCCATACATACAGCCCATTGATGGTCAGATTTCTTGTTGCTGTGGTTGATAAATACATGCAGAGTGATGTTAATTGTAGGTGCAATAAACACTTTCAGTTTCTAGAAGATGAATCTTCTGTAAAATTAAGAAATTCTACTTATGGTACTTATGGGCTGTCGCCAAATTAAAGTAGTCAATTTGCCTGAAACTGCAGCTTGTATGACCTCTTCTGGATTGTTAAGAAAAACTTCTGGAAAATGTCCTGGAAAAGTCCTGGAAACCTGTTATTAACTTGTAATCCTTCCAGCCTAAGAAAACAAACTGCTGCTGGCCACCCCACGCCAGTCCTCTTCTTGGCCAAATTACACAGAGCAAAGCAAAATCAGTCACAAAGACCTAATAAGTGTACGTATCATTAATGGGTTGATGGCTGTCTTTCATTATGAGAATGATACTCTGTAATCATGCACATAGTAAAATGTTTTCAGTTTTATATAGTATGTGTACACAATTTAAATTCATGTAAAAAAGTGAAAGAAACAGAACACTTGTACTGGGTTGGTACTGTAGTCTATTGGCCAAAAACCTGAGTTCAGTTTTTTAATATTGTATCAGGGGAAAAAACATGCATTCTCATGTAGACTATTTCGCAGAGATACCAACCTCACTAATGAAACTAATGAAAATCTTTGCTGTTTATTGGATCTTAGACTTTTTAAGACCGCCCTGACACCCTGTATGAGTGCAATGCTGCTGTGAGTGACAGAATTACTGCAACGTTAAGCACATGGGATTACTGTGTGGCTGGAAGTTCAGGCATGGTAGGCTGTCATGATGAATGATAACACTGATACTGATACTGTGTGTGTGTGTGTGTGTGTGTGTTTGTGTGTGTGTATCTACCTGCGGGAGATGTGCGGTCGTTCACAGGCAATATCTTCCAGATGTTCGGCGGTCAGGGCAGTGATGCACCTTGGAATCACAGATTTTCTTTTCCCACATTCTAACCTGCATAATTTTAATATGCTATATATTTATGACAGTATTAGACTCTAACATCTGGACCACATATGCAAGCGATGGTGCCAAATAGTAGAAATTTGGCACAGGGGGACTGATATGAAAACGTACAGTATGTATTTCATCCATCACGATGAAAAAAAACTTTAAGTAAGACAAGGATATATTTCACACCACCTCTTATGAACAATTTTAAGTATTAGAATTTAGTTTTAATCCAAACTGTAGTCAGACCAACATCTTTAAAGATTCTTATATAAAATGTGTTTCATCACACATATATGTTGAAATCCAGGGTGAGAGCTATGTGATAAAAGGTGGTGTTTCATTTTATTCAAACTGGAACAAAGAGTTTGTTTGTTTGTGGTCCCTCCATGCTCAAAAACATACTAGGCATAGACCGATTATCAACCAATATTCACAATTTTTCAGATTTTCTGTATCTTTTATTGTCCTATTGCTGATAAAATAATATTAAAATGTGCTACTTTGGCAGCACTATCTGATTGGTTACACGTCAGGTGTAATCCGTTTTTTAAGATAAAGTTGAAAAGTTCTCTTTTGCAGCATTTAATTAAATATAATTATGTAAAAATACCACAGTGTAAAAATACTGTTTTACAAGTAAAAGTCCTAAAAGTACAAAGGTAATGGCATCAAAATATACTTTAAGTAACAAAAGTAAAATTATATAATATATTAAATTAATGGATTCAATTAATTAATTAATCAGCCATGCCCTGAACTCAGTCTTCACTCAACTACCATCCATTTTTTCATTCTGGACCAGATAAAGGCCTTTTTCATTTTTTGTTCATTTTGTGGCCACCATAATTTCTCCCTTGTGCTCGGAAAGTGAGGGTGAAGCAAGTAAGTTGCAATCTGCAAGTACGCCGCTAGATGCCACTAAATCCTACACACTGCTGGTTACATATGTTGTTTTACACATTGTTCGTTTTAGCCAACCACAGGTTTTCATTCCTTTCAATATTAAAATTCAACTTGAAGAAACCTTAAACTTGAGATAACTAACCCTCCAGGTCGGTGTCTGTCAGTCCATCTGTTCAGTGGGGTTGACTGCCCCCCCCCAACCCCCCTCTGTTTAATTGTTTGCCTAGTATTTTCCTTTCTGGCCCCCTGACTTATTTTGTGTATGGTTTTCAGACTTTCGACAGCAGAGAGCAACAGAAGCAAAAGAGTCATAAAAACCAGGATCTGCTGCCGCTGGCATGTTTCAGAGATGCTCAACTATTCAATGAAGACCTGAAGTCCGTCAACCCATGTGTGTCCCGCTAAGCACACACACTGAAGAGTTGCAGACACCAGTGTTATAGGAGTGTGTGTGAGTGTGTGGCTGGCCATTGTGTGTCGGTGTTCACACACTGTGCCGTGTTTAAAGCACTGTGGAGCCGAAGACTTCAGCCCAAGAGTATGGTCCAACTGTCCACATCAGTCTGCCTGCTGGGAGGCCTTCTAGGTAAGAGACTTCTACACATGCATGTTTTCCGCTGTAATTGGTGCTGAGATGGTTTTCGTTTGTGTCCCAGTGTAAAAAGTGGAATGGAATTGCTCTCTCCCACTCCTACTCACTGGTCCTTCTTTTCATATGTGACATTTGGTGATGTTTTTCATCAGGCCCTCATCTTGGTGGCTAATTGTGTGCCAGTGTGGAGAGTTAATCCAGTGGCAAAGTGCAGTTTTGGTATCCATTATGTCCTTATATTCAAAAAGGTCAATAGTATATAACTTAAGGTGCATTGGAGCTGCACCAACTACAGCAGTTCTCAGCAAAATCACATATTTTTCTCAAGGAATCAAGGAAAAATGTAAAGTTTGTAGTTCCTTCATGCTACACACATAATCAATAAATAAAACAGAATATAATAAATCTATATATCTATTTATCTATATATCTATCTAATCTCTCTCTATATATATATTTATATACATATTAACATCCATGTATACACTTAAGAAATAATCCTGCAGTGCATCCATTTGCGTTTCGTTGAATGTCTGTTTCATTACATTCCTCCATTACATTTTCTCTAACCCTGTAACTCTATTCTGCCGTCTCGGTAACTTATTATAGTACATACAGTGAAGAAGCTTGTGATATCCTACAGTAACAAGGCCAAATTTGGTTATGATATTGTGGAACAGAACATTTGTTTCTTCTGGAGAGTTACTTACTATGCTGCTCTGTTGCAGCCCTGTCAGTGGCTAAAACAGACCATTGCTTCAGTTCCTTTCGGCAGCTGATATCATCGTTGCATGTAAATGTAGTTAAACGCTGTTAGTTGGAGCAGCACAACTCTACTGCAGTCTTTAGACAAGAAAGAACATTTGTACAACTGTACAGTCCAATCAAGTGGACCTTAAATATTGTAAACAGGTCTGATACTGATGATTTTATCCATTAATAGGTTCATCCTTAAGTCTGTAAAAGTCTGTGTCCTGCATAGGCTACTGTATTACTAAAAATAACTGAGATTACAGATGTATTTATGCACCTGGATCCCTGCTCCTTGTCTGCCAGTGTCCCAGTGGGGGTGCTGTTGTCAGCCCCTGTGATGGATGGTGCCCTGTTTGTACCATGTGTTTGGTTGTGAATTGGTCCCATTGCGAGGCGTCTTGTGGCACCCTCAAGGGCGTTTGTGCATTATTAGTCTGGAAATGAGGATTATCAGTATTTCACCCTGCAATGTTTTAATGTATTTATTTATATATGTATGGGTGTTAAACATGTAAGACATAATTTGTTTGAGTCATTTGACGCTAATTGTGTGATTTCAAAATGATGAAGCATGTGTCATTGCTAATTGACAGGTGTGTTCGCATTTTCACCGTTACCCAAGGAAAGCCATGCGTAGTCAAATAGCTGAGAAGGTGCAGTGTTGTTTTATTTTGTCAGCTTTTTATGTATTTTCTCCAAATTTTTCCTAAAACGAGAAGTTCAATGGTGTCTTTACCCTTGAGCCGCAGAGCCTGGTAGAGCTGGGTCTGACCATGATTGATGCTAGCCCCAAACACACCCACTGCATTCCTCCGAATGGCAGCCCGCTCCCAACTACACCATGGAAATATGAATAGTCTATGCTTTGCAGGCTTGGCGCCTTAACTGTCCTCCTTGCTTTGATCCATTAAACCGGTGTTGTTTATCTTTGTAAGGGGAAAAAAGAGTTAACATGGACTTGAACGTGAGGAATTAGTCACTTTATCATGTGGAAGTCGACAACCACGGAGCCATTCTTCAGATGGATCAGTCAAGCTGTTAGCTGTTAGTTTGCTGCCACACACTGACTCCTGTGTGGTGTTGTGGAAATGGTTGTGTTTGAAATGCTTCTGTGCTTGTAGCTGCCAAAACATAACCTAAGAATATATATAACTATATAACTATTATGATGTTGTGAAACTGGAACGATGTTGGGCACTACCTGGTCAAATATTCAGCCTCTCTGTGTAAGAGTCCAGTTGGATGACAACCACTACCAGGTGAAGGTGAAGACTGCTACTTGCTCCGTTGTCCTTTAATCTTTTGTTACAATTTTTTTTACTTTTCTTCCTTAGAAAAACTGAAATGTTGGACTTTTAAAAAAAGAAAATTATGTATTTTATATTTCTTTTGTTTTACTTACTGTTGTTTAAAACATTTTTTAGTAAAATTTTTAGTCTTGTGTTCCCCGGATGTACTGTACATTACTAAGGGCCGCCAAAGCTTTGCAGGGGGTCGTGAGGACTTCTTGATTTTAAGGGGTGTAAAAGAAACAGCTTATATCTCAGCATTTCATTCATTTTTGTGAATATAAGTTCCCAAAGTTTATATTATTATTATTCTTATTATTATTATTGTTATTCAAGATATAAACTTAAATAGAAATCTCACAGGAAAAGCGCATTGGGGAAGACCTAAACATAAACTATATTCACAGAACCTTCACACTGCTAAACAGCCTCATATTCACAGGAAATAATCTTCTCAAACTACATCCAAATTGCTTGGTTTACACAAACGTCCTGCAATTATTGTGTTCACTGTCTCGGTTCATTGTATAGCTGTTGTTATGCAATGACTTTAATATGAAATATCCTTAAAATATGTCACTTAGTGGGGGGCGACAGTTTACTTAATGATAGAAAAGAGGTTCCGTAAGGAAAGCAAGCAATTCTTTGCAATATGAGACAAGACAGATACTGTGTTTAATCTCTCCTCATCTCACCCTAACTAGATGTTTGCCATTAAATATCATACAAGAATAATGTATTGTACACCTGGGTCTAGGCTTGGTTTTAGACAGTTGTGATCCTTGACAGATTTTTGTAATATTGCTTGGAAACCTTCTTTGCACACAGAGAAGCTGCAAAGATGCAGCGTTTTCTTTAATCAAAGTCTCTTCAGTGAATTGCAGAAACCTTCGTTTTGACCATGAGTCTGTCTGCTGCAGGCTATAGCAGGTTTATGGGAGCATTAGGTAGTCAGACGTTCAATTCTCTCTCAACGAGCAAAAATAGTACTGAGACAGCCATGGAGATCAACAATGAGGAGAGATGACCTCAGGCTAACTTCACTTGACAAAGGCCCTTCTGCTGGACATTTAAATGACAACCTTTGCCAAGGATGACAGAGTTTGGACAGATTTACTGAAGGACTTTGTTCTCAGACTTCAAAGATCACTTGAAGAGTAGGAATCACCTTACCTATCACTCACTTAACAAGAGTTATTTACTACAAATCATTACTTATCTGTAGTAGTTCACAGGAAAAAATGGAAAAATATGTATCCATTCTCAGTTGTGTCTTGTATGTGCTTTGGTCTGAGTGAATCAAATAAAGTAATTTCTATAAAATCCAGGCATCTAATGGAGACCTGTGTTTATTTGTCAAAACGTGCAACCACACCAGGCGGCTAAAGGAGACCCACGTCTATCTGCTTCTATGCAAAGTTTTACGGTATATATGCTGTATGATAAAAGCTACAGTATGGCAAATGACGATCTACTGGTCCTGTCTGACAATGTAAAACTAGATTAATGACATCGCTGACAGCTCCACTCAGCAGCTGCTTATGCTAATGGTAGCTTCACACACACATTGGACGCCTCAGAACTCCCCAGTCTGGAGCTTTTAAGCTGAAAAGCTTCAGTAGTAAGTGATAATACAAGACTGTTCACCATCTGCCAGTTGTTGGTAATTTATATTCAACAACTACCCAGTTAGCTGACACTGACATGGTTCAATCAGCTAGATAGATCTCCGTCTGGTCTACGTTTTCATAATAGGGATTGGTTCTTCAAAGAAACAAGCCAGACACAAGCCTGCAATTGAGGGCACTAACTGGACAGCCCGGTGCTTGTGTAAGTTGACTTAAAGGTCCAGTGTGTAACATGTAGGAGGATCTATTGGCTGAACTTTAATATAACATTCATAGGTATGTTTTCATTAGTGTAGAATGACCTGAGAAAAAGAATCGCTGTGTTTTTGTTACCTTAGAATGAGACGTTTTGATCTACCGAGATAACAGTATGACAATCGCCAAAACCGTCCAATCAAAAAGTTACGTGTTAGTCTGTATAACTTCACGTTTACTCCTCTTGGTTTTAAATGGACCTGAACTACAATGCAACAATTTTTCATTTTGTCCCTTGTTTTAGAGCAAATGACATGTGTGAATACAGACCTGCTGATGGTTGTACAGAGCTGTGTTGGCATCTGCACTACAGCAACTTTTTCCACACCCTACTATGGATCTAAACAGAGATGATGTATTAAAACCAGCGACTGGCATGTAGTTGAGTCCAAAGAGGTTTGAGTCCAAGTCAGGGCCGGGCTCAAATGAGAGAGACAAAAGAAAGAGAGCTGTTGCCATTGCCACAAAAGTGGAGGGAAGCATTGCCCAGCGATTAACAAGGAATAAAGTCAGGATTCCAAAAAGGTGAAGGTTGCCCCGTCCCCTCTCTTTAGAGGATTACAGTCTAACAGAGCGCTCCCATTAACCATGTGTTTCTAGGTACAATAACTTCAATTTTAATGGAATACGTTTAAAAAAACTAAATAAAATATATATTATAATAATTTTCATTTGAAGAATTAATGTATTTCTTGTTAAAAATGTAACTACACTGGTGTTTAGTATATACTTTGGACAGGGAAATGCCATAATAAATGATTCCCCAGAATCTTGGATCAAAGCATTACAGCCAGTGGAAAAAATACAGACACAGTGTAATTCAATATCTTCACCAGGATTGATTTCAAATTTAAAGACAACAGTCAGTCTACTACAAATGCAGCTGGACATCTGGTATATATTTGCTTCAGATGTCCCTGTGGTAATATCAGAAAACTGTTCAAAGAGAATATTATCATATTTCCTGATCACTGTAAAATACCCCAGGTTCCTTCTGTGAAGTTGTTGAAGCATATATCAGCTAATTTGGCAAAAATGAATCAATAAACATTATTATTATTATTATTAT